CTCAAAACTGTAAATGCAGCCAATTCAAACTAGCCGGTACTTTTATGGCTTAACAAGGCATCTCTTCTAATCAACAGAGCTCAGATGTGAAAAGGAGAGCATACAAGGAGAGCAATTGAAACCTATGTTGTTCCCCAACTGAATCTCAATAGTCCCAGTTGTTGAGATTCTTGGGTCATTTTCTGCAGCAGAAACATCAGAAGTGGCCGTGGTCCCCAAAAACCTTGCTAGCTACAGTCTATTTTTTTTTACAGTTGGAGAGGAAGGATAAAATAGTCACCAATTGGTTTTAAGCTAGCATCTTCATAGCAGCAGTGGGGGAAAAGGTTGCCAGAATCTCAGTGACTGCTATCAGAATCAGCTACAGTTTTCTTTCTTCCAGTTCACATAAACCCTTGGGCAGATACATTCACCACTGAAGAAGAGCTGGAAGCACAGCCAGGCCCCCCACGCTTATGGTTCCCTGGGCTGTATAGGCAGCTGTGGTTATTATTACGCCCCCAAGCACAATTGTATGGGAATGACTATAATAAGTGTTGCTCTGTATGAGAATGACTACTTGTGTATTACAATATGGCGTATAGAAATGAATACATATGATTAGTAAAAATATAGTACTACAGACTTTCCAGTTTCTGCAATAATTTCCACATTGACAGAGGGGATAAAGGGACTTTTAGCAGCAATCAGCATGTGAAATCATGAACCTATCAGAATGTAAATACACGTATTAAACAGCAATTTAATAAGCAGCATATTTACAGGCACATTAAGCGTAGGCACCTGGGCTGTGAGCACACACACGGCCTGCTTCATTTCAATGTACATGACAGGTGGGGTTGACATGCAGGACTGCAGGAAAGCTTTTAAAAAGCAGCTAATCCAGCAAAAGCATTGTACAAATATCTGCCACCTACACATCGCTCTGATTAATTTCACATCTAGATTTATCAAATCAAGAGGAAACTGCAGAAAGCAAAACCTTCCTAATTCCTCTATTGCAGAGACTTATATAATTACATTATACTACACATGGAATGAAAAGATTTTCTTACATACTGCTTGATCATTAGTAGCCAGAACAGAATATAATAGTTTATGCAGGAGAGAGCTAGCTGTTTGTGGCTTGGGTGTTCATCAGAGTCGTGTAACCTATAGTACACAAAAAAAAAAAAGTCACAGTACACAATATTTAGTTGGACCACCTTTAGCTTTGATTGCGGCTTACATTCGATGTAGCATCTTTTCCATAAGCTTATGCAATGTCACAACATTTATTTCCATCCTGAGTTGCATTCATTTGTCACCAAGATCTTTACTACTGTGTAAAGTCTTCTCCTCATCCCAGAGATTCAAAGAAGTCTCTCACATCCCAAAGACTCTCAATGGGTCTGGACTCAGTGGTGACCAATCCATATGTGAAAATGATGTCTCATGCTCCCTGAACCACTCTTTCACAATTTGACTCTGATTAATCTTGACATTGTCATCTTGAAATATGGCCATGCCATCAGGGTCATTCAGTATATTCAGATAGGCAGCTGATCTCATTTGTTGGGGACATAAGTTGCTGAACCTAGACCTGTCCAACTTAAGCAACCCCAAATCATAACACTTATGCAGCAGAAAGCTCTTACCTATTTGCTTAGCTTAGTGGTGACCTTTTTTTTGGCCAGGCAGTGTACCGTATATTATGGCTGAATGGCACTGTACTATGCTGTGTTTGCGTTCAGTAGGGTTGAGACGAGTTGAGAGTTTTAATTTGGCCAAAATCTTTATTTTTTTTACAGTATTAAAAAAATAAAAATGTGGAGCTGTTGCCCATGGCAATCAGTCAGAATCCAGAGTGTAATTTTTCCATTGCACATTGCAAAATGAATGTAGCTATCTCATGAGCTTTATGTGCAAAAAAAGAGTACCATCAGATGATTTTTTTTTTTTTTTTTGTAACATTTATTTAATGTCCAAGCCTTCTTTTTATCCCCAACTGAATACAGCTGTTTAGTTGGCCATCCCCATCATGACAAAATCAAGCAGCATGTCTGATTAGAGCTTCAGATGCAATGATCAGGCTGTGTAGAGGGAAGATAACATACACCTACTGTAGTATGAAGCAGTCATTATCACAGGGAGATAATGCAGCAAAACTCTCAGTGACCGATAATGGATTGTTAATTTTCTATGGAAAAGAAAAAATAAGCTTTTGTCATCTGTCATCCACATTGAACAAAGGATTGTGATTGGACTGACTTAGCAGTTTAGCAATGGTCAGACCTCACCTCTCATTGCTCTCATAAGACGTTTTTCATCTGTAGCTACCTTTTAGTCCTGATATCAAATTGTTATCCTATTTGCGGTAGTGAACAGGTTAAACATTGACCTGCCATGCATGTCTGGACTCATGTACAACAGGAACTCTGGAAAAAAAAAATCAATTTTAATTATGTGGAAAAATTGTTGGGCTACATGTAGCAGAGAAAAGCATGGATGTCTATGCACAGTAATAGAACAAGCCTGGTTACTTACATCCGAATCACTGTTCAAAACTTTAGGATGCATATTATGAAACACGCTAGTCATGTGACAGCTGGGATTTTGTTATATTTCTTTTTTGTTGTCCTCTTTTACTAATGATGATGCATTTAGCCCATCATCAGACTTCTTACATTTCTCTTCCTTTCTTGCAGTTGAGCTGTCTCAATCCTTTACTCACTGAGATTGTCTTATTTTTTGTTATCTGATTATTCCTCATGTGTTGTGTGATTGACTGTTTAAGCTGCTTGTCAGCAGGAATGTACAGTCCACAACAAAGGGTGTTCCTGCTCCTGCCTCTGCTTCATCTATTCCCGTGAATCTCTCTGGCTGCTTTTTGAATATTTTCCCACTGGTCAACAGGCAATGTGTCATCTGGGGGGAAGCTCTCACATGATAAAACAGACACCTGCCTCTACCAAGATGGCTGCCTCCATACAAAGCAAAAGTGCAGAGCAAGGCAGTTAGTCAGTGATGGGGAGAAGATCAGCTGCAGGGAACCCACAAGCTATACTGATGACTAGTCCATTGCCCTCTGCTTGCCTATTTTAGGCACAACTTCCAGAGTTCAGGTCCTTTCTTTTAAAGACACGGAGACCGCCTATAAATAATATATCCTCTTTACAGAAATAGATTTTTTAATTATATCAGGCTTGTGATGTGACTATACTGGTGCTCAAGTTAGGGGAATGAAGAATAAGTAAACATGTCTTAATAAACACACAGGCACAATAAATGTCTTATTGGAAATTATTGTACTACCAAGAGGTAATTAACAGGTATACACATATCAATACAGTTTGCTATTCATCCTTGGTAAGGGCTGGGAGGTATGATTTGTGTAGTCCATGTTGCATATCAGGAGGACAGAATTCACCACAATACATCAAGGTTCCATTTCCATATGTAGGTTATGCTCATTAATTCATTGATTTCCAGGATGTGGCGCCCATGCTTGATCTAATTATTGCCAGTCCATATGGAGATGCTGGATTCCATTTATTTGCAGACTCATGTCCTCAACATTGTCTACTTAACAGACCCTATTAATACTGTTGAGCATGTGCATGATTAACTGTGCTATAAAATCTGCATGGAGTGTCAGTAAATCGAAGCTGTTTAACAGACAAAATTAGAGCTGGATGTGCACCATGACAAATTAAGCCTATTATCATATGTCAGACGCAGAAAAACACAGTGCAACAGTCCATTAATATTATAAATGTACACGTATTAATGTACATTCTGATTAGGATCGGTAGATAAAGCGTAGGGGACTTTTTTTTTCCTGAAATCGACAATTTTTCAAGGAAATAGCAACTTCCTAAAACACCATCACAACAAACACTGTTTTGGGGTAATATAAAGAAGCAATGTCCATTTGTTTATTCAGTGTCTCTGGGATGGGCATCCTTGACCTTCTTAGGCCACATGCACTCAGTGATCAAAGCTGTGGATTCCTGTGGCAAGAACCTGCAGATTCATGTGACAGGAATCCCAGGTGGGTCCATTCAGATGCGGCCACCATGCCCATTCAAGTAAATGACACACTGACAGCTGCTGCATCTGTCCATGGCTGTCCGTATATAATCGCTTATGGAACAAATAGCTGCTGATTGGGAGAAATGCTTATCCCTAGTCCTTCTCTGTGTCCAGGGACAAGCATCTCTCGTGATCTGCATGTAATCCTGTGGACTTCACACAGTGACATTGTGATACAGTTGTGCTAAGAAGTTTTCCATTGTTTGATCAGTTAGATATAATGTATGGTCAGCTGTAAAATAAGCAGAGAAATACAAGCTAGTTACTTATTGAATGCTTTGGATTCTTGATCACTACTGCTTTATTCTATTGTTGATATTGCTCATATTTGGATAAAGGTGGACATTGCGTAGCTCAGTCACCCCTTGGTTAACTGTATCTTTCTGGGATTCAGGCAGTGAAATTGCCTCCCATCAACCAGGGCAGTTTTAATGAGATTTATCACACTGTTGAAATTTGAATTTATTACATTTTAACAGGAGGACTAACCCAGGGGTTGATTCAGCCTACCAGCCTACATCCATAACTGTAATATTGGTATGGATAGAGTTAGCTGTAAAATATGTAAAATATGCTTTTATCTGTGAATACTGCAAGGACTTTTACAACAATGCTGATGTATGCATAATATGCATATAGGAAATAAACTTATACATATGTATATTTCCCAGTATGTTGCAAGGGACAGGAATTCTGTGAATCTAGTAAATGCAATACAAATTACCTATTCCTACTTTATGCATTCAGCTGTGTATGAAATGATGAACAGTTTGGGTTTACTAATAAAAAAATACAGAGATTGCCAGACTTCTGTGGAATTGTTATTTTTCCTGAATGTACAGTAAGAAGCAATGTTGTTGAAGTTTTCTTTATGAAAATTTAGGTTATGAAATGATTGGCTAATTGTTTTAATGCACTCTGCCCAGGTATACTTTCACTGGCATTTATACTTTTGAATCTTTGATAAAAATATTGGCAAGAGGATTCTGTCTGAAAGAATTCACCTTCCTGCGCGACCCATGGAACTGGCTGGACTTCAGTGTTATTGTCATGGCGTGAGTATATTCCTCTTATTTTTAATGGATAGTGTCATATGTTTTTGATGCTAAATGTAGCATAATGCTTAAATTCAGTACATAAAAGAAGCAGTCTGCCTATAAAGAGTCATGCATTTTGAGTATCGATCTGTGATTTCAACATCAAGCTTCACACAGTTGAAATCCTACCTCTAGCCACCAATTATGACCTTTGCGAGAAGGTCTCATTCTCCTGGTGTACATTTCTGAAAATGCAGAGAGAGGAGTTCTCTTATAGTAGGATTATGCTAATTAAAATGAAAGTAATATTTTATTATAAATGGCATGAATAAGTTTAACAGTGCTATTCACAAAAGGGTGAAGAGTTTGAAGAAGGCACAAGAAGGTAACAATCTAGGACAACATAGCTAAACTGGAAAGCAAGCTGAATTGGAGAATGTTTCCAAATCAGCTATGTTGTCCTAGATTGTTCACTTCTCCTGCCTTCTCCAAACTCTTCACCCTTTTGTGAATAGCCCTGTACATCTTCCACAGGGGCCTTGTGCCTTTCAGGCTTGTACAGTGGCTTGTGGGCAGAAATGTGCACCTTTATACTAAAACAAATATTTGACCTGATACACTTAAGTGTGTTGTATTGGGTATTTTAGCTGAAAAACATAATCATTTTTTAATTTAATAATTCAGCATCTTTTTCAAACATTGTTTCTTATGCAAGCAAAACTTGGTTATCCTGCATTCAGATTTGTCATTCATTATAAGGGTTTGCTTATTTACACTGAATAATAAGAATCAGTACATTGACTGCTGTCCACAGTAGTGATCCTGTTCTTTCATTTTAAAAATGAAAGCACCTACCATGCTGATAGAAGCCAAATCTGATGTCTTTTGAGAGGGGTCCTAAAAAAAGAGACACTTTTCTTTAGGGCAGCTTTCTTGTCTATTCAAAAGTGTTCCTAGGTCCCTAATGATACTTGACAGACCGTCTTTCTACTATGACTAGCAAGCATTTAGATTAAAAGTACATTTTTTTTTTAGTTCCTGATAGAGTAAGGGAGTGTTATAGCTCCTGTCAGCTTCAATCTGTTTCTGTCCCGTTCGGGAGATTTCCCTTCTCTTTAGATTTCCCTTCACTCTCTGTCTGATAGCCACAACAGATAGAGGAAATTCCTTCAAACTGAGGGAAATCCCTGGTCAGCAGGGTCACCAGAGCTAGGGTCACCATTGGAAGATTTCTCATCTATTCCTGTTCTGGCGACAACCAAAATGTTGGGATTTTCTTTCACTTTTAGTGATAATGGTCATCAGAACAAATATAAGGGGGACTCTCCCTAATGGGGATATGGACGGCAATAAAACCCTGACAGGTGTTATAATCCCTGTTCACTCTTTTGGCTTCTGTTGCATTTTAAGACCAACTCCAGCCTAAACATTTTTTTTTAGTTTTGGACAAAGGTAGGAAGCATTTTTATTGCTGTCTGGGTCACCTCTGACTTTCTCTCACTTTCTACTCTGACACACATTAACTGGACAAGACTAGAAAGTAAATCTACTCAGTTGGGACACAGACAACAATAAGTTCTAACCCTTTTCCCCAAAAAACCTGCCTGTTCTCTGGTTTGAGAATTTCCCTTCTCAGTGGAGACATAAGGATACACATTTGATAGAACATCCAACCCTTTTCTCTTCTATCTAGAAAAGTTATGGCTAAAGGTGTGCTTTAAATTATGTGAAAAAAATATGAATGTTATTATTTATAATTAATGTGCTAATAAACCCCCAAAATGCAAAATTTCAAAGCTAATTGTTTATGCCTTTAAGAAAAAAAAGCCATTTTGCAAAATTCTGAGTTATGGCTGGAAAACATTGATATTTCTGCAACTCAGCACATGATGTACAAAAAGGAGGAAGACCAGCAAACCTGCATTTGTTTTAAGGTACCAATCTAGGTCAAATTAGATTTTCTACTTTTTAATATAATTTTTATTTAAATCCATATTTTCCACATTTTACTAAAAATAGACCCCTGGGGGACCCCCTTCCATGTAAAACATGGATGATCCTAATTTCTTTTATATACTTGGGGTCTATTTATAACCAGTACACAGAGCTATTTGCCCTACGAATCGTTCTGTGCAAATAGACGCAATAACGAACTGTCTTCGATATATTTTCTTTTCAGGTGCAATGCATGTAATGTAATACTGCATTATGGCCATTAGATGGAGTTGAGGCACATATGAAATGAATACTTATTTCCTATACTCATCAGCTCCATCTAGTAGCCAAAATACAGTATTACATTACATACATTCAACCTGAAATGAAGTGTCTATTTGCATATAATTAATATTCAGAAAGATTCATAAGGTGAATGGCTCTGTGAATTGGTCATAAGTAGACCCCTTGGTTTTACCATATACCAGGTTGAAGTTTAAAATTTCACCCATATCATCAATGCAGTCAAAATCCAATATTGCACATATTTAGATTTAGTGAGCCTGTTGCTAGGATGGATTTGGCGTCCTTGCAAATACAAAGGTCCAGCTACATGGAGAGTCTCAAATAGAGGTCTACTTCTTGTTTAAAATGGAGAACCTGTTAAGTGAAAATGAATGTGCTTCTGAAGCAAAAACAGGTTTGCAGGTCTGTTATGACACTTCCATTCTTCAGTAAATCACCCGCTCAGTGTTCATGCAATGGTTTCCACCATTCCTCAATTCCAAATAACTATGGTTTGATTCTACAGGTATGTAACAGAGTTTAAAAACCTAGGCAATGTTTCAGCCCTTCGAACTTTCAGAGTGCTGAGAGCTCTGAAAACTATTTCAGTAATTCCAGGTAAGAGAGCATCCCCTCTCCAGTTCTCAGCTACTGCAAGTGCTTCAGTCTGTGACCTGTTTTTCCCTTCATTTGCTGTCATTTATGATTGGTGTTTTGCTACAGTCTGTGTGTGCCTTTCCCTTATTACAGATATGCCACTGAGTTTGTGGACCTGGGCAATGTGTCAGCTTTAAGAACATTCAGAGTACTTCGAGCATTGAAAACAATCTCGGTCATTCCAGGTGAGGATCGAGTTAAACACTAAGGTTGCTTGTAAAAGCCCACATACCATTCCGATTAACCAAACTGATATCCTACTGACAGTGGTTGACACTGAGATACCGTGGAATGGTTCTATGTCGAGAATGCAACTTGTCTGCAGAATGATTACCTTTTCTTATTTATGAATGCTAATCAGTAGAACTTTAGATTCTTCCCCTACAAGTCATCTATTTGCATACAATACCTAATTAGCCACCTTGATAATTTTTACATGCTAAACGATAATGATTTATTATTTATATGTCTTCTTGAGATAACCCCCTTTTCCCTACTTCCATGGCCAGGAAATATGAGATAGCTGGAGGAAGTACATGAACAAGGAATTAAATGGGTCATATGATATATGTCTAGCAATCATGAGGAATGGGTCATGTGACTCCGCAGTGTCTTCCACTATGGCCCCGACATAGAATGTAATATATTCAGGGCTGGTTTTTCATCAATGGAGCCTGCAGACTCAGTATTCGGTGCTCCACTTTGGTAACACCCCTCTGAGGATCACCTCTTAGACAGAGGGCATTTCTTGGCTCTAACCTGGACTAGAATATTGTGATGTGTAAAAAAAAAAAGTAAAAACTTACATGAGAAAATGATTTGGTAAATCCTGCCCTGCATATATTTCACCTAATAAAGATCTGACTTACACATTTTTCTTTTGGACTATATGCAGTGAAAGGATTATTCCCTTCATCCCAGGGAAAAAATAACAGTCTTTGAAGACTGTAGTGACTATTGATGAGTATTGATGAATAGCGTTTTGCTTGGAAGAGCTTGTATTTTAACTCTAACATTGCTATGCTTTCACTATCAATGCTTTGATTGGTCTTTAAAAAAAATAATAACTCCCCTCTGCAGCAGAGTGATAATTAAAGATGAATAAATCAATTTGTGATCTGGCAATTGTCAATCATACTGCCAAATCTCCTATTGCACATGAGAATAACGATTTGCCTATGCGTCTAAATAAGTGTTGATTCACCCAATCATGGCAAACCAGGTTTATTATGATTGCTGGCTGTCAGCACACACATATACAAGCAGATCACCAAAACACAATTCTCCCAGGCCATGTTAAAATCACTACTGATTAATCCATTCACTTATCTTTAATTATCACCCTGGTGCTGACTCTAATTAGGACAGTCACCATTGTACTGCCTAATTTCTTGCTAGGGGACATTTTACCACTGATAGCACCAGTGGATTTACTAACAGAGTTCTGAAAGATGAAAGACCAAATAGATCTACTTTAAAATTAATGATGCAGTTAGAATATTAGGAGCATTGCAGTTGTTCTGTTATGGCTGCGGAAAGGCTATACCTTTACTTTGAACTAGGCTAGTCTAAAGGAGTTGCAAAGTTCTCCTTCTAAAGTAGTCTTTCTAAATCTGATGTGCCAGATTTGGTTGGGGTTGGTGGGTTTGGTCATTTGCTAACTCCTTGTATTTCCTGGGTGGCCTAACGGGTAGATCTTCTTCAATATTACAGCTACCGGTATAAACATTGTCCCAGCAATACAGACCCCAGCTGTGTTTTAGACTATGCGATGGTGCCCCTGTTAGACTCTCCCTATTTGCAATAACCACAACAGATAGATGGGCTTGAGAAAACAGGAGAGTCCCTAAGAGATATAAGGTCCCATTGGTCTTTTCATAAAATAAGAATCCAACCCAACTTAACATATCACTGTTGGTGAGCCTGCCCTTTCATAAGGCAGGAGTGGACATAACATTTTTGTAAACTGTATAACTGTATAAGTACTCTTTGGGAATTAGGGGCCACCTAATACTAGATGTTGAATTGCCAGGTGCTGGGACCTGGACATTTCATTTCTATCTAGCTGTCAATCAATACACAGGGAATACGTGTTTTAGTTGTCCAGTAGCTAAATTCAGGCACCCAAAACTTGGCCTTGAACAGGAGCCTTTATGGTGACTCTCTCTACCTTTATAATGAAGAGCTTAATTTGTAAAGTTAAAATTAAAGACATGAAAGTTAACAGAGCAGAGATACGAACCTGGAAATCAATGTGCAGTGTTCTCTTTAAGTCAGCTTGGCTGTTGTGCTTCACAAGTCTATTAGGAAAATAGGATTCCTTACTAAAATTGGACTGCAAGACAAGGGAAACCCCTATGTAATTTCATACAACATAAAACAAATACACCCTCTGTGTTGAATACAAATTGAATGCAGTGTAAGTCTGGAGAAACAGCAGAGTTTCCCTTCTGTTATTCTCACTTTGACAGCAAAATTGATTTTGGATGTTCTTACAATCCCCCGAGAAAGAATGTTTTGACATTGAAGTACAAGAAAAAAGTCCCTCCCCTGTATATTTATAGGTTTGATCCTTTCATGCAGTTAGCATATACTTACTTTCACCTAATAATTGCTGCTCAAGCTAATATCATAATTAGCCGCTTGTAGGTTTGGAAAGAGATGACTTTCTTCAGAAACAGCTCCATTACCAGCATTGCTAGGTACATTATGACAAGGCTGTAATACATCCTGAGGACAAGTTGCATTCAGCCTTAGTGCTTAACATTTCTGACCTGCATGGGAAGGTGATAGGTCTGCATGGTAATATCTCTAGGTGGGCATCCTAACACAGACGTTGGCAATTGTATGTCAGACATACCTGGTAATTATCTGTCTGAATACACGCATTTTGTTACTATGGAGATTGCACAATACATTTTTTTATCTTAAAGGCATTTTCAGTGCTAGCAGAATTTAAAGGTACCCAATAAAAGTGCAGATAGATGTCAGATTAGTCTAATTGGGTCGGGCATAGATACGTTAAATCTCACAGCTAAACTCAGGTTCAGTGTAATCTCTTTGAATAGAGTTGAAATTTCTGTGTTTTTACTAGTTAGTGACCCACAGGTAATGTTTTCCTCACTTCCTGTCCTGTAAGGCCCATGCATGAAAATGGGTGGAGTGGTTGTTACCAGGACAGGAAAACACAGACAGTGCTTTCCGACCATATTAAAATGCATTTCACACAGGACACAATGAAAATAAATGAAAGATGCTCTTTCCCTTCCACATTCTCTCCAAAACAAGAAAAACATTGGCTAGAGATTTTAGACTTTAAATGAATTAATTAACTGAAGGAGTACTGAATATTTAAAATCCTGCTTGTTTAAATTCCTATGAACGTGATTGGATGCTCAAAGGGAGCACAGCCTTACTTGCCAAAGTGAATATTTACTTTTATGTATGGATATTCTCTTGTCCATTAAGGCCATGTTACATGAGCGACCCTGTCACTGGCTACAAGCTGCTAAGGGACTACCTACCTGTTTCCATGGAAGTGCTTCCTTGCTTGCCAGGAGGGCAAGATGTTAATTCCATAGATGTAAGTGAAAGGCTCTCCTGGGTGATTTTGCTGCTGGTGATGTGTCACTTAAAGCAGAATTGCCCGTGTGACATGGTCTTTAGTAAATCAACCTGGTCAAGTCAGCAACCTTGTCATTAAAAGAACTCCAGCCCACATTTATTTTTCCGTAGGGGCAGTAGTGTTTCTAAAATAGCAATACCCTTCACTTAGAGACATAGGGATGAAATCCAAGATGACACTACAAGTCAAAGCAGGCACCGTGGTCTAACACTGGTCTCAAGACACATAGGGATTCCCAGCCCTTTTTATATACTTCAGAGTTGCCAAATGGCCAGTCTGAGGTGGTCCATGAGCAGTAACAGTTAGGGCCTAAAACTATTAAGATTGAGTCATTTAACCAATTTGTTAGGACCCAACATGTGGTATAACATTATACTCTGCACATTGTGAGAGATAAGGCTGTCACTCTTGATACCTTTTTTATACATTGCCAATGTCTGGTTAGAATGATCTAGAATGAGCTCTGGTAGAGGTGTTATTATTGAGGGTGTTTTGAAATGTAAAGGATTCTGGGCTATTGTCCTGCTTGATGTTGCATGATTTTATCCTTTTTTCACCAACTGTTTGCTTATACTTTGATTTGTGCTAATGCAGCTGCATAGAAATATGTTTTATGATGTGTTCACATTTATTAGGAACTGACAAGCTGTAAATATTTAACAAAAGCATGGAGATTTTTTTTGGTTTGATTTGGACATTGTATGAATATACAAAACATGTTTTATTGATAGTCAAAGACTATAGAGATACAACTTAGGTCTACACACTACCTACAAGCCCTGGCATTTTTTTTAGGAATGGTTTACTTTAACTTTTCTTGATTCAATAAAAATAAAATGTTTGCTGTTGTGTGCACAATAAGGAACACTAACCACCCCCAACAATGGCAGACCAGTCAACTGATTTATATCATACCCTAAACATTTCACTAGCTGGCCCTAGTTCAGCCATGTAAATACATTTGTTCTTTTTTTGGGTTGTAACTGACAACAATAAAGAATAAAGGGGATTTATAGTCATTTTAAATAATTTTAGGTTTACATGTAAAAGAGATCAGCGTGATGTAAATCAGTTTATTACTGTGAGTTAACGTTTTAAAAGCCCAGTTTCTGTGTATAATTTGTAGTTATTTATGCACGCGGGGAAGCCGTATGTTTTATATGCAGGTTTTGCTTCTTGCTTTCAGTGCTACACAAAGGTTGTTCGTTCCTGTTCCTCTCAAAGTACAACTATCTGGGGGTGATTTACTAACCTAAACACACGCACGCACCAGGTGCGTGTGATTTTCACACAGCAAAACGTATTTATCAACCAAAAAGTCTCTAAAAGCATATTTCCACTAATGCCATATATGGAAAAATCATGCACATGATGCATATATAATGCTGCTTCACAGTTTAGACAAAAATGGTTAGCTCATGCATTTACATTCCTGCATTCATCAACGCAAGCAACACAACATAGAGCTAATTTACACAACATCACCTTGCAATTCATGCAGGGCTTTGCACAACACACCTGCTGGGTGTGTACACACTACAAAGGTGTTTAGATTCCACC